GGCCCCCCGGGGGCGGCCCAAGAGAAAACGAACCCAGAGCAAACGGGGGGGGGGGGGGGGGGGATGAGTCATGCTTCGGGGTTTCGTGGTGGAACGCAGTATCAGCTGCAGCAACTGACGAGACGATAATACCGTTCCGCCAAAACGAACATGGAGCAGAATCGATGAAAGAAAAACACGACAAAGTAAAGAAAAAAAGGTGGAGCAAGTAGGAACCAGCCGCAACAGGGTGGAAGAATCGACACAACAAATATTCCACCGGAGGTATACCAGCATGCACATTTTTTGTATGGTACCAGGTATGTATGTACCTGGTTGCAGTCGATCCCCAGGGAGGTGATTCCCTCCGCGATCTGCCTCGACTTCACAGCCGAGAGCTCGGTGATGGGAGACAGGCCCGAGTTTTCGGCCAGGGCCATGGGGACGTCGTCCAAAGCGTCCGCGAAGCTCCGGACGGCGTACTGCAGACAACGAAACAATAAAAACAAAGGGGGGGGAGTGGGGGGTCTGTTGCTTGAGCCATCGTTGGCAATGGACCACACGCATCTCTCGCGAGACGGGGGCAACGTTCCTCCTCCCAAAAGAGACACCTCCGACAATCGGGTGCTCTGCACGTTGTTGTCTATGATTGCCATCTCCCGAAATTCGCAAGGCAAGCCTTGGGAAAAGGGGATATAAGAAACGGCAACTACAAGGGGACCAGAGAGGGGACAGCAGGCAGCGTCAGCAGCAACCAGCAAACAGGAACAAGAGGCAAGTTCACGAGGGCAGGAGTTCTTGACAATTTCGATACAAATTCAATTTTCGGTACGACTTCCGGAGGCCATGCGACACGTTCGAAGAATCCGCGGAGCCCCGGACTGCGTGGGCTTCGATGCGGATACGTTCAGCGGCAGCCGTTGCAGCAGCCGAGCAAGAGCGAGGGGGCGCGATCGGGTCGTATCATCAAGTCTTGCGAATTGCACGGCTTACGCCACCACAGCTGCAACGACAAGGGCAACCGCAACAACACACAACCACGTACCCAGCACGAGCTCCCTGTCTTGTACACATCACGCGTGTCCCTGGGGTCAACCAACCGCCTCCGAAAACAAAAAATCAATCGATCACCTCTCGGCGTACATTAAGCAACACCTACGGGTGGAAGGTAAGCGCTCAGGTGTGGTTGTCCGCACTGACCCAACCGACACAATCGAGAATGCCGGCCGGGCCTGAGCACGCCACGCAATGGTTAACTGGGAAACAAGCACGATGTTGACGCGCATTACATGGTCAACTAACCGTCGTTGAAAAAAAAACAATCAATCATCGATCTGCGCACGATCAAGCAATACCCACGCGAGGGTGGGGGAGGGGAGGCGCTCAGGTGTGGTTGTCCGCACGGACCCAGCCGGCAAATCGAGAAGGCCGGCCGGAGCTGAGGGAAGTCATCATCCTTTGACCGTGTTACACGCATCACGGCGCCCTCATCCTCCCCGTCGCAGGGGCAAAAGAGCACGAAAGCATCAACAGATACCATATATGGGCAACGACAAGAGTAATCATTCCAACCACCAAAACAACAACAACAACCTGGTTACCCAAAACACTCCATAGAAACACAGGTTCAATCATCACCCACGCACACATCTAGCGGCATGGTGCAGTGCGGTGCGGTACGGTACGGTACGGTACGTACCTGCTCGACCCCCTTGATCTCGTCCGCCATGCGGGACACCGCCACGCTGCAGCTGATCTCCGCCGACCCTCCGCCGTACACGATGCGCTTGTCCTTGATCAGGTTCCGCACCACGCACATAGCGTCGTGCAACGACCGCTTCGCCTCCTCCACAATCATCTATTTTTCGGGAACGGCAAGGGGTGCACCGGGAGAAGAACATTCGTGGAGAAACAGCCCACAACACTCCCGTGTGTACGTATCCATGAAACTTGTCGGAGGAAATAGAGAGTTACATTTCCCCCCAAAGTGTTGGGTGCTTTGATTTCAAGGAACTAACATAGTACTCGAGTGGACAAAGGATAGCTCGGGCACACACCAAACACACACACACACTGAGGTATGTATGTGAAAGTTTCCGAGAAGTTTGTTCAGGTGAAACGTCACGAAACTAGCACAGGCTAGTAGATCGATGAGCAAAAAGCTCTAGGGAAGATGTTAAAAGGGTTTCAACAGCCGGACTCCGAGTCAAAGCTAAGACGAAATGACACTTCACGCAGATCTGTGTAATATTGTCGTGTTGTAGAAAAGCACCATCCAAAATTGTTCTTCTGACAAACGTGCAGAAGACAAAAAAAAACGCGGCTGTTGGGCGAACCAGAGACAGAGGGACAGAGAGAGGCTTGCAGCAGGTCCTCCCTTGATCAGCAAGCAACTTCAAAAAAGATAGTGAGACCTGGTGTAGGCCTTCCGCGACCACAGCAAACAGCCCGCCACGCGCAAGCAACGTCCAACAAACAACTTCACCTTTGGGGAAAAACGACCAGCTG